GAAGCGGCATAAGAACGGCACAGCGGTAGAACGGCAGAGCGGCATAGAGGCAGAGCGGTTGAGCGGCAAAGCGGCCGGCCGACCGGCAAAAATTTTGAAATGCTCCCTTAGGTCAAATGATAGGAACAAATAGAAATATTGAAACAGAAATAAACAGAAGAATATCACTAGGTTGGAGACAGTTTGGAAAATTGAACAAAATATTTAAAGCGGACATTCCTCTGTGTCTAAAAAAGAAAGCATTCGACCAATGCATACTTCCAGTAATGACATATGGATCAGAGACATGAAACACGACACAAAGATTAGAGAAAAAACTTGCAATCAATCAACGAGGAATGGAAAGAAGTATGCTGAACATAAGAAAAATAGATAAAATTAGAAACGAACACATCAGAAAACAAACAAAAGTTATCGACATAACAAGAACAATAAAAAGAAACAANAAAAGAAACAGTTGGAGATGGGCAGGACATGTTGCTAGGCAGCCAGACAATAAATGGATCAAGCTCACCACAGAATGGCAAATAATGGACGGGAAAAGAAAACCTGAAAGACAATCCACGAGATGGAGAGATGAAATTCATTCATTCCTAGGAAATGATTGGAGCACTGTGGCACAAAATAGAGGTAAATGGAAAAACATGGGAGAGACCTTTGTCCAACAGTGGACGGCAAATGGTTGCTAAATGATGATGATGATGATGAAAATAGTCCAAAAAGAAATAAAGATAATGGTGAAAAACTGTCACAAAAAAATTCTTTAATTTGTATACATTATTTTGTGTTAACATTGAATTATTTTCACTTCATTAAATTAATCATTTTAATGCCATTTTTCCGTTACAAATTTTGTCTAGGTAGGACGTATGCAGAATAAAAATCGATAAATAAAAAATAGAGAAAAAGAAACCTAATAGTAGAGATAAAGTGTATTCATTTTTCTTCGTTCTATTCAACGTGTAGCACATGGAGAGCGTCGTTCGATAATAGTCAAGTTGAAGGCAAACAAATAGAAAGGTAACACTAGTGATGTGAATATTACTACTCAACAAATCGATACAATCCTGCTCGCATTATCGCAATACAGGCGAATATTCTGATTAGTCAATACTGTTCGAATTTTAAATTATGATCAAAAACTAATACGTATAGAACTTCATGAATTAGCTCAATTGAAAAGCAACTCTTGGGATGAATTTGTTGACCTACAATATCATACGATTCAAGTTTTGGTTACAATTGGCATAATAATTTATAATATTCTCCATAAAACTTAACCAACGGGAAATCACAAAATCTTATAAAGCGGACATTTTAATCGATTCCTAGATTATTCGTATCCAGCTGAAACCGGTCGATTCTATTTAGTTTTGACGATTTTCTTGGACGTGGATTCCAACACGAGTTTTTTCAGGGTATGAATGAGATCATAATCTATCCACTTGTGATAGAAATACTATCACCAGTATGGTTAGAAGAGTCCAAAAAAGAAGAGAAGCACTTTTGAATCAAATCAAATCATTTACAAATATTTTTTGTATGAAAAGTAATGATGCTTTGTTTCATTTTCGTATATCTCATACTAGCATATATTTCACATTTTTCGTCTTTTTTTTTATTCAAACACTGAAATTTCCTTAAATTAAACATTTTATAGACTATTTTTAGGTGTCTCCAATATTAACATGTCCATACTCCAAAGATTCTATATCTATTACCTTAATTTCTACTTAAGTTTGTCATAAATATGTGATAAGAATGACAGAATTTTCTTAGTGATCTATCCGAATACAGATATTTTTCTTTAAAACTGAAAATCTTGACCTTCAGCTCGCATATGAGAAAAGCATTGCAACTCATGTTACTATCCTTGATTAAAATGAAGTAATTTTCTCTTGTAGAATCAGTTCGTGTGAGAACTGGGCTCTTCAACCATGATTATCCTCTGGTCAAGCTTTAAGAAAAAAAATATTACTAAACATCAATAAGATTATTATTGAGATCAAAATCTAACCTCAGATTCGGATTTCCTTGTTATGATTCTTTTTCAGTGAGATTTTAAGAGAAATGCTATAGATTTTTATGCATAATCTGTCCGACAGTTAAACAGTATAGTATTGAAGGTCGATGAGATTATTTGAAGAGTTGATTTTTCAATCAAACCAACTTTTCATGTTCTAAACTGCTAGTTTCTGTAAGTTATTATCAAAATTTCTATTAGGTTTTTAGATTTTAAGCACGATGTCCAAAACCATTCTTGTAACCGGTGCTAACTCCTTCATCGGTGGCTGGATTATCAAATATCTCCTTGATAAAGGTTACAACATTCGTGGAACAGTTCGATCGCAAGCCAAAGAATCTCGAGTTCTTGATGGTGTTCCAAACAATCAACAATGTCGAATTTCATTCGTACATATTAATGATATCATGACCGATTCGTTTGATGAAGCTGTTCAAGGCGTTGACGGTATTATTCATGTTGCTTCGCCAGTTCGTTTGACATTTACGGACCCAGAAAAAGATTTTCTTCTGCCAGCAATAAATGGAACTATGGGAGTTCTACAAGCTGCTCATAAATACAATCAAAACCGTCCAAACACAATAAAAAGAATTGTGATTACATCGTCATTTGCTTCAATTATTGATATAAGCAAAGGACTTCGATCTGGCTATTCCTACACCGAAAAAGATTGGTGTCCATTCACTTATGTTGATGGATTGGCCGAAAAAAATGATAGTCTCACAGTTTATCGGGCGGCGAAAACGTGTGCCGAACGTGCTGCATGGGAATTTCTTGACAAAGAAAAGCCTTCTTTTACTATTGCAACCATCTGTGAACCGATGGTGTTTGGCCCACGCGTCAATGGTTTCAACTCATTGGATGATATGAATAGTTCGAATTTGCCCATCTGGTCACTAATTACAAGTGATAAGAATGCCAAAATGCCTGAAACAAAATTGATTTTTGAAATTGATGTAAGAGATGTGGCTTATACACACGTGGCAGCTCTAGAACAGTGCACTGACACAAGCCAGCGGTATTTAATAGCAGCAGGAACTTGGAGTTATCAATCAGTAGCGGATATTATTCACGAAAGCTTTCTGATTCCGGAAAGTATGAAGAACACAACACCGATTGGTACAAAAGGTCAACAACTGCCGCCTCATTATACCATAGATAGTTCCAAAGCGCAAAAAGATTTGGGTGTTACATACATTCCATTGATCAAAACAATCGAAGATTTAATGCTACAGTTTATCAAACTCAAGGAAAAACTGGCACATGAATGACTGATAGATGTGGAATAGAACGTATTTATTTAGTATTGAAATCTGATTTTCAAAAGAGAACACTTCTAATTTATAAAAAGAAGAATAGCAAATCAAAATAACCTGTCTAAGATGATCACATGAAGTAAGAAACATTTCTATACTGATCATATTGTCAATGAACATAGTTTCATAGTGATTTTCATTGAAAATCCTATCGAGATCACACTAAAAGCTTTCTGTTGTCTTCAAAATCAGGAATCTCATAGCTCTAGCCACATACTACTGGTCACTGCTATTCAACAAACAGTGGTGGATTAAAGAAGGGGTGAAACAGAGTGATCGCGCCCTCTTCGAAAAGTTCTCATATAAGAAAAGCCTATGTATTATAATTAGAAATATATTTCATATATCGTTTGAGCACGAAATATGTCCTGCTGTTTTGTTCTAAAATTCATTTGTTACACTTACAGGAATGCAATGTCACTGAATAAAATCTACCTAATATTGTCAGTCATTTTCTTCCTGAAACTTTTTGTTTTCGTCAATAAAAAGCACGAATCAAGTCTATTTCAACCTATTGAAAAGAGAAGGAATACTGAAGACTTCATGTAAACTATCAGTAACAAACTTCGAAGAAAATTCTTTTCATTATATATGAAAATATAAGTCGATTTGATGTCTAGTTTTCATATTGACATGTTTGAACCAACAAAAACACCTCTCTAGGCAGTTTAGAGGGAAACCCCCGTATATAAATCTATAGAAACGGAATATTTTTAGAAAAAGAATATTACTTCTGATAGAGGAAATTATTGGCATCACAATATAATAGAGAGTTGATTTCGAGCTTTGAAGAAAGAATCCGATTTTTATTAGAGATATAGTTTGTAATTTATTTATTCAATTTTCGGATTAGTTTGTCATCCACTAAATCAATAAGTATCAATTCATTTTATAATTACTCTGATATTTGATTTATAACGTTGTACAAATTAGCAATATACTCTCTTCCTTTTCATTGCACTCAGATCAATTTATTACTTAGTAAAAAACAAGGTTTTCATATCGACCATTCATTATTATTGTTATAAGAATGCATTGACTGTTACTAATCAAAACATATGATCATATTCGTATTATTGTCGAGGAAGAAGAACCCTGACATAAAGCTGCGTTTGATTTGCTGTCGTACACCTCACTCACCAACTTAATACACTGTTGGAGTTTGAGTGTAGATATGTATTCGGGCTTACACATAACAACCTCATACACACCAAGCACCCACACCCATTCTGATGAAAATCGAATGATGATTGAGTAAATCGATTACTGATGATGTTATCTTCAATCATTAAAAACATATACAATTCATTGAATAATTGTGATTCAGATAGAATAACAAACAAACAAATCAATAATCTCTTTCTAAACATAAGACATCTTCGATGATTGTTGGTTTACAGAATGAGTTTTAAGTCTTTATTTAATTCGATTTCTTCTTGAAGTTTTGCTTTACCCGAATCGGATATATTGCAAAGTCTTATATCGAAGATTTTCAACGATCGATTATGTTTGATCATTTCAGCTAGTAAATCGACACTCGAATCACTCACAAACTTATTTTCGGCCATCTCTAATTGTTGCAAAGTTGTATTATATTTTTTTAGAGCTTCATTTAAGTAAACTATGCCTCGGTCACTTATTTCATTAGCTTCCAATTGTAAACGAGTTAATGTACGATTTTTCTGAAGCATCACACCCAGATCCTCTGCACCAACATCTGTAAGACCAATCGAATTAAGACCAAGTATTTCGAGAGTTTGATTATTTGATGTGAGTACCTGTGCGAGAGAATATATACCTTTATCAAATAAACGATTACCATGTAGATATAGTGTATGCAATTTTGAATTGACACTCAATGCCGACGCTAAAATCGGCATACCTTCCGAAACAATTTCCTTGCCGCGTAAGTCAAAAAAAGTGCATTGTCTCTTCTGAATCGCATGTTTAACGATAGTTTCCATGTCTTGATCACTTAATTTTTGACTATTTAATTGTATTAATATATTATCCTCATTATATGGAAATTGGTCGATTTGATTTTCAAGTATCGGATTGGAATAGTCCGAAGTCATAATCAATCTAAATTCTACAATGAGACGACGGATTGTCATTTTAATAGACTCATATGCGGAAAGTATACAAAGATCTATTGCAGTGATTTAAATGGAGATGTATTTCTTTGTTTTTTAACGAATGAATACATATTGAAATTGTCTGTACCTTCAAAATATAATTAACGGAAAAGATTTCTATTGACTTAATTCATCGAGAGAAAATTTCGTTGTTCAAAATGTATTTAGAATCAGAATAGCTTGTGAAAAATTATTGACAAGTATCATTTCGAGTCGATTACTCGTTTTTTTTTCTCATCTCCAAACATTTCAAGCATGGACAGTTATGTGACAAATCAAGAAAAGAAAATTCTACGGACGAGAATTACACAGGAATCGTTTTTGAGCTGACTCTTTGTTTCAATTCATCGACGCTCGTCTTGATCATGAACAGAAAAAAATCATTTTGATCACACTCTCTACGGCAGAAAATGCTCGAAAAAATGTTGAGGTTGTATTGTCGACACTGCTACAATCATCACAACAATTGAATGAAAGAAAGAAAAAACTATTGAATTGTCTGTCCTCTATTGGGTTTGAAAAAAGAAGGCAATAGAAACAAAAGAGAAAAACTGTCGAGTGAAATCTAAAGTGAAATTCGTCGATTATTGATCAACATGAAATAACGAACGAAAGAAATTGCAAATATTTGGTCACAATGATCCTTAACCTATTGTTTTGACTCAAATTAATTGGTATCCATTATTCAAGATTGAACGATAGATTTCAAAACATTTCTCCACTATACACATGAGCACAGGCGATCTGACAGATCCTTTTTTTATAAACGGCACTTGTTTTAGAACTAATCTTTAAAATAAGAGACAGAATAGTTTACAATAGTAAAGTTAAGAAATTGATAGTGCTTATTTCGAATATGGAACGATATTATTTCGATTTGTCATCAGACAATATAATTATTGCACCTTGATCGACGAATAGATCGAACGGGATGCTTCGAGTAGAGTATAATGTTCATTTCAACATTTCAATCGACTTGTTACTCAACGTTTCAATGGTATGCTACACTTTATGATTACGGCATGTTTGACTTGTTGATGATAATGTGTTGATAAAGTGATGAAAATATGAAAACTTAGAAAAGCGAATAAAAGACAGTCAACTGTGTAGTTTAAGTAGAAAAATAAAATAGTGATTGCTTAAAATAGAAGATTTTAATAGTCAGTATAATTGATTGATCAATATTGACAGTAATATGCCAGCGTCAATTGTCGATCACAAATCGATGGCGTTCAATTAGAATTTGTCGTCGAACGATTCAACAAAAATTTCTGAAAGCCGAAAAACTAAAAACAACGATCATCGTTTTACTCACGTTTATGTTCGCATAAACTGATCGAATCTACATGAGTCATTTAATAACCTTTTTCGTTGATAATAGATTCTAGAGAAATTTTTTTCATTTAATCAGTAACATGTTCTCGCTGAATATCTTTTGAACGAGACAACCAATTGTAGAATACGATATCCGTTCATCACTTTTGTACGCTCAAACATTTATGTCGAATGTCTAGGTCATAGGCAGAGTCCAATAGTTTATTTATATTCTAATGGTACAGTTTGAATGATATGTTAGAAATAATATGTACGATGTTTTGATATTTTTGGATCTCTCTCTTCCAGTGTTTGCTTCTAATAAACTCAAAAGGGCAATTATTCACATTTCGAAGAAAAAGAGTCAATAGACCATATCAAGAAAACTATTCTGAATAATAATAAAAGAACACTGTTCCGTCGTAGCTTGTTGTTGGATTATTTTTTTTGTCTTTTTCGCTCCCTCAAACACACACATCGTTACATGACATAGAACGAAAGAGAAAATAACGGTATTTTCAGAGAAAGAAAGAATAAAGATAGTAGAAGTTCTTATTTTGAGAAATGAGTTCTAAAAAATTTTGCCTCGATGTACACGATATTCGGCTTCACCGACACTAAGTTTTTTTACGCTCTATCTTAATATATGGCTTCTATCGCTAGGACAGTAGATTGAAAATTAACGATCAGTTGATATGATGTGTTACTGATTGCATGTTGGAGATGAAACTAAGATGAATGAAATCTCACAAATGTTTAGTTTTATCTAGGAACTGAATAAATACAACGTATATTTTGTAGATCTCAAACCCTCCTTTATGGCGCACTTCAAAATTCATAAATGTATCGTTAAGCTTGAAAGATAAAATACAATTTCTTAACTCTTTATTCATCAAATCATGACCGATGACGATGATTTTGTAAAGATTTCGCCAACAAGATACATGACGTACAGAACATATCCATTTCACTTCCATATGAGCCCAATCAACAAAATCAATTCATAGACAGACAAACAATGACTTGATTCATCTGAAGTCAATACAAAACTATGGAAAATATAAAGACAAGCAAGGGATTGTTTCGAGTTCGCTCTGATCAACCATCGATGTGAAACTTTCGCAGTTTTATTCACTTCAGATCTTCGAAAAAGCAAAAATTCGAAGAATCTGCATATGAGGAGTGGAGTGAAATATCAAGGCTTTCAGAGGTCTACGTATTGACCAATTTTATTCGCAAATATGAGCGATGACAACACTATTCATGTTTGTGGTGTCTTAATGAACATCTTACGAAAAGTTCATAAAGAATAGCTGATGAGTGTTTCGCTGAAATTTATTTACCACAAACAAGAAATTCTACCAATGCCGTCTATTTCACATGTCGAAAAGTGGTTGCATTCGGTTCTGTTTTGTTATCATAGAAGCTATATCACACTTAATTATCATCTGTGAAGGCTATAATGAAAATAAAAAGAAATTTTCTTATTCAGCTGTATCAAATTTT